AAAAGGCCTCACACAGCCAGTGTGACAAGCGCTGGATGGATAACGGCGACCTGCAGAAGCATCTCTATAATGCACAAACAATTGTTGAATTTGAACGCATTGCAGCTGTGCGCGTTACGTAACACGTCAACGCCTGCATCGGGCAGAGAAGATGAACAGATGCTTCCCCTTCTGATCTGTGGGGGGGAAAAGACCCCTCCAACGACATCACTCTTGATTTAAAAGAGCTCGTGATGTTTTAGGCATAAAAGCTGGGTTGGTCTTAAATCAGCTGAGCTGTCCGTCAGCCTAAATTCTAAGGCATGACGAAGCAACAGAGAGGGCAGATAATTACTTACCCTCTTAGCGGGTGTTAAAACCAGCAGCAGGACTGTTTAAAGAGACAAGAATTTAAATGAAAACTGATCCAGAGGCTCAATTGAAGCTTTGATCAGGGCTCGCAGGACCAGCGTTAAATCCCACTGTGGAACAAGTGGGCATGAAACAGGCCTACATCTCTGAACACCTTTTAGAAACCGCTTCATCAGCGGGTGATTAAAAGCTGTTCTGTCTCCAAACCCTTTGTGGCAGGAAGAGATGGCTGCAACGTACGTTAAAGCGTACTGAAAGCCAACTCCCTATCCATCAGGTGTTGTAGAAAAACAACACGCTGCCTAAAAAGCATGAAGTGGTCTCTAAACCTTCTCTGTACACCAGCGCTGAAAAGCCGTACCCTTGATGTGTACAGAACTGTGGTAGATGCAGCACGTGAATCTTGAATTGTGCACACTATCTCCTGAGGGAGACCCATCCTCTAAGTGGGACCGCTCAGCGGTCAAACCCACCGGTGTTGACCTATTTCTGGGTAACTCTTGGTCGCTCCTCCTGCCTGAAGGAGAGCATCCTTCCTCCACGACAGTTCCACGGCGACCCCACAACAGACGTTGCAGGCCTGGGAACCATAGTGCGTTCACACGCCGGGAGCCACCAGGAGAGCTGTCAATCCCTCCTCCTGAACTCGGTTCATGGACCGTAAAAAACAGAGGAGGTGAGGGAAAAGAAACGCGTAAAAAGCGTTTTGGGCCACCGACTGTGAGCAAATGCGTCCCCCCCCAGCGATGGATCGTCTCGCGGGCTCAGGGAAAAAACCGTAGTTGACATTGCGCGTTCTTCTCGCGTCGCAAACAGGTCCACAGCTGCTTTGCCAACTTCTGCTGTGTCTGAAAAACATCAGATCCGGATGGAGGATCCGGTCCACATAACGTGGGCCGCCCTTGGACGTCACATCAGCCCCTCTGTTCAGAACATCGGATATGTAAACCGCTCTAATAAAAGCAGGTTTGATGAACCCAACTCAGTAGCTTCCGCGCAATGTGTAACATCTGGGCTGAACGCACACCCCCCTGGCGGTTTATGTACGCAGCAGTCACCATGTTGTCTGTGTGAATCAACACGTGTTGATTCTGTAGCACGGGAGCAAAATGTTGAATCACATTCAGCACTGTGCGACACTCCAAAACATTGATGTGGGCTGATGTGCGGTGGGGCCACAGCGCCCCTACTGCTTGAGATAGGCATGTTCCCCCCCC